ACGTGTGATTTAAATATATGTGTGTCTCCATGTTGTAATTTATTTATTCTTCATTAAATAAATATATTTAAAATTATTTATGTTAATATCAATATTATATGTTAGTATTAATATTTAATTTTAATACTAATGAATGTAATAATGTGTAGGTTCTAATGAGATTTTTAAGAAGGTCGTTTAAGGAGGAGATAGTAAGAGAAAGAGGATGTACGGACTCAAGTCACACGCCTCTCACTATTACTTTGACCTAAGTACGGCCTCTAGTTCGACAACTTCGCGGCTCCATGTTGGTGATGAGGCAATCCGAAAGGAATTCGAGGATCGACATGCAACACGGACGGAAGAGATCCAAGATCTACGGGATACCGTGATTTTGTTGTTGGCTGTAATAAATGAGTTGAAGGAGTACACTCGAGAGCAACATACGATGATGAGACGGATGCAGCGAGACGTTGCTACATATGCAGCAAGGCGGTTCATCCTTTGTGCCTACCACCGATGACTATTCCACCCAACCTTTGAGTGACAACCCCGCCGATCTCTCCTAGCTTTAATGTTTTCTTGTAATAACAACAAAATTGCTACTTTTAATAATTAAATATTTATTACATTTTAATAAACTTTATAATAAATATTATGAAATTTTAAGAAATTATGTTTTAGGTTTTTTTAGATTTTTAAATAGCAATCAGTTAATTTAAAAAATTTAAAATAGGGGTAAAATTAAAAAATTAATTGAAATAAATTCTTAGTGACGGAATTAGCAACGTTTTTGGGCCGTTGCTAAAACCGTTGCTAAATTTTTTAGATTTTTAATTTTGGTAATTTTGTGATGGTCTTACCAAACCGTTGCCAAAACTGTTGCTAATTAGCGATGGTTTTAGCAACGATTTGGCTAGACCGTCACTAATTTTTGTGACGGTTTTTTAAATTTTACAACGGTTAACCGTCACAAAATATTAGCGAGTAGCATTTTAGGGATGGTTTTAAGACCGTCGCTAATGAAATTTAATCACGGTTTTAACGAAATTAGCTACAATCTATACCGTAGTTGATTCCTTTAATTCGATAGTGAAGAGGAAAAGAATGTACAAACTTGGATCATAAGTCTCTCATTATTACTCTAATGCCGAGTTCATCCTCTAGTTTGACCACATCATGATTCCATATTCATATTGAATAGCATCAAAAGGAAGTGGAGGCCAAAAAAGGTAGACATGAAGAAGAGATCCAAGAAGCGAAGGGTAATGTTTCATTGCTCCTAGCTACTAAAACTCGATTGGAGTAACACAATCGGGAGTAGTATGCAATGATGCGATAGATGTTACCGAATATGCGAAATGTAATTCCTTTACCAATCCTCTAACCGACCATCATTCATCTAATGAAGATGCTGATATATGGCATATACCTCGTTCATCACAATATCATTTTTTTTCACTATTATATTTTTATTTGCTGAAATATTAATACACTTTAATATAATTTGGTGTTTGAATATATATTTGATTAGATTTGATAGCTTATAAAGTATTCTTATTTTTTTTAATTCTATTTCATATTGTTATTATAGATTTTGGATTGGATTGGATATATGAAAATGAAAACGAGATATATTGCTTATTAATGATAGGTGAACAATGGAATAATTGACTAAAAATATCATCCTAAAAAAAAAAAAAGATTTAGTGATGATTTTTTAAAAGCGTAGCTAAATTTAGCGATGGTTTCTCAAAACCATCACCAAATATAAGCTAAAAGTAGCGACGGTTTGAAAAATCGTCCCTAAATCCACTTGATTTTTGTTATCGTTTAGCAACGACTTTTAAAAACTATTGCTAAATTTGAATATTTTGGCAACTTTTTTTCTTCCTTTTCGTGATGAAATTTTAATTTTAAAGTCACGGAATGCTTGAACCATTGCTAAGTAATTAGCGATGAGCTTTTTAGTGACGGTTTAAACCATCGCCAAATGAAGTTTTTATTGTAGTGCATGAATAGCAAAATAAACTACAATAAAAGACAACGCTCTTTTATTTTCCTTTTTTTGGGTTTGGCAATAAAAATTTCCCACATTTTATTGCAATTTGATGATTTCAAACCTTTATTACCAATTTAAATAATTCAAACTACAAAATATCAATTTTTGAGTAAATTTTATCCAAATTCATTAATTGGGTTTACAAATAATTTTTTCTTCTCTTTTTTTTTTTTTTGCTATTAATTAAAAAAAGCTTTAAAATGCTTTTCGTCTATTTTTTAAGATAGATTTTTTTCCACTCATTTTACCTATAAATAAATAAAAAAATTTCATTAAATTTAGCACTAATTTTTTTTTCTCCCTAAGAAAAGAGCTTTCGCTTTATGAACTTATCTTTAAAAAAACCTAAAAATAAACTAAAATTAGAAAATTTAAAAAATGGTTTTGTAACTCTAATAATTCTAAATGCATATATATATATATATATATATATATATATATATATATATATATATATAACATGTGCAACTAAAAAATAAATAAATAAATATAGTTATATTTAAAATTTAATGATTGAAAATCACAAGAATAAATTTATTAGCATGACAAAAGAAAATTTCAGTTAAAATTAATTATTTGACAATTTTAATTGATCAAATTCAACCAATAGATATTTATATTTTATTAATTATAGAACTTGACTATTTTAATAGATAATGATACTAAATAAAAGTTATTTTTTAAAATTTAAAAATATATATATATAACAATTTGATTAACTATAAAAAATCAAAGGGATTAATATGTGAAAATTTTAAATAGAAAGAATCTCTCTTGAAAAATGAAAGAAAAGCATTTTTAACATTTTTTTAAAATCAATAGCAAAAAAAAAAAATTAAAAAAATATGACGATCAATCTGGGTTAACCGTTACAATTAACGAATTTAGATCAAATTTGCTCAAAAACTGATATTTTAAAATTTAAATGATGTAATTGATAATAAAAACTTAATATTGCCAAATTGGAATAGAGCAAGGATAATTTTTGTCATTGAATCATTTTTTCTTTTTTGGTTAGTTAGTTTGATGCTTGCGCTTTGTTGTAGTACTATTTACAAAACTTATTTTTTATAATTTAATGGTAACTAGAATAAGTACTGGCAAAATTTCTAGTTTTTTAAAATTAAGGAGAGAAAGTATGTTAAAACGAGAAGACCTGCTCTCCCATAAATTACTACGCTAAACTCTGGCTATTTTGTGTTTTTCAATTTAATGACATATACTCAGTAAATATTTGGTGAGTTCTGGCATCTTAATCTCGACATAATATTTCATTTTTCAGGAGAAACTATTTAAATTTCATGACAGAAAAAACCTGTGGGGAAGTAATGAAATTTATTTTTTTATCGGTGCTTTTTAAATTGCTTTTAAAAAATAAGTAAAATATCTCTAACTTTTATTCTTTCTTTCTTATTTAATGATTCTAAAAACCCCCCATTAGGTTCTAATTATACTATTTATTGCTTTAATTTTTCAATTAATTTTAGTAATAAAATAAAAACAATTTTATTTGCTGAACTCAAGAATAAACCTTAATTACGTCTCTTTTTTAATTCTAATATTCACTTTAATGCCTTATAATTTTTTATTTATTTTATTAACTATTAAGATGAAATTTAACTCTCTGATTAGAAGAATATTTCAAGGTCCTGAAGCAAGTACATCCAGATATGGGGATCTCAAGCAAGGCCATGAGTATCATGAATTTCTTCATTAATGATATTTTCGAGAAGCTTGCTCTGGAATTCTCAAGATTTGCTAGGTATAACAAGAAGCCCACGATTACCTCGGGGGAATCCAGACTGCTGTTAGGTTCGTCTTGCCTGGAGGGTTGGATAAACATGCTGTTTTTGGGGCGACTAAGGCTGTCACTAAGTTTACCAGTTCTTGATTAGCTATGTACTCGTGTTTGTTGATGTGGTTAATCAGGCTTTTATTTTTCTTTCTTTCCTTCTTTTTTTTTTTTTTTGTCTCTCTAGCATGCATGTATTTATCTAGGGTTAGGGTTTCTGCTTGATATGTTTCTATTGTAGAAATGAGATACAGTAGTAGTGCTATTGTTAGTTCTGTAGAGTTAATTTTTCCAAATCTTGAAAAAAATTTGGTAACAGAATCAGACATCAATAAATTCTCGGATTAAAGAAAGGATTAAAGAAATAAAAGTTTTTGAAAAAGGGGACAATTGATGGAGTCGTGGAATCTAAAGTTGAAAAAGAAGAGATCAATAGCAAAAGAAAAATGCCCATTTACTGAGCAATGTCTTTGGCATATCTCATCTCCATAATTTAAAAGCACCAGGAATCCTGAGGTAGGTGAAGAAAATGAAAGTGTCGCTTTACTTGATGCTGCTCCTGATTGCTCTGTTTTTGTTTTTCTTCCACGCATGATTGTTTTTTATAAAACGAATCTCTGTTTTTGTTTGCAAATCCAATAAGAAATGTGTGGTTAAACAGATGCAGAAACATGTAATCATTCTAGTTTGACTGTAGAAAACTAAACATCAACAGTTATATTTCGATTGGCACATTTTCTATTGTCATTTATTCCAGTCATCTACTATTTTTCTATGCATGCATTTCTGACACATCCTGTGGTCATCTATTCCAATCATTTCCCAGTTCGTGCTCTTGAAATTAATTTCGATTACTGCCATGAAACTTGGACTAGTTTGTATTAGGCAAAATCACTTTCGTCATCATTGCATTCACATGTCTATCCCGATTTACCATTTTCCAATGCATTATGAAACTTAGAAATTGACTACGACTGAAATTACAAGGATAATTAACAATGCACAAAGATACAGCAAGTAATCGAATTTTTAGAATGGCAAATCTAGTTTTGATACAAACATCATACAATATTTTAACAGCCAAATTAAATTGCATCAGTTCTGTGTTCCAAGCTGCTTCGTAATCACATGCCTAAAGGTATTTAAGGAGGCGAAACTGTTTCCACCCTAACCTTCAGTAATTACACCATTCTCTTTCACTTCCTCAGATGATGTTACTCCATTCTCTTTCACTTCATCAGCTGATATTTCACCCTTCTCTTGTACTACGTCTTTAGAAGATGCTTCACCATTCTCTTTCTCTATTTTCTTAGCCTTTAACATTGCTTCTTCTACAGACTTTTTTCTTGCTTCCTCCTTTGAAGCCTCAAGAGCTTCTATCAAACACTTCAAACAAGTCTCCTCATCTTCTTCATCTGAGTTAGGCATCAAATTCTCAGCAACATCAGCTGGAGACATCTTCGTCTCCCCCAACAACTCTTCAATTTTTCCAAACAATTCGTGCGACTCCAGTTCTAAATAATTCTTGGCCAGCACCTTGAATGCTTCGAAGCAGCAATATGACAGTTCTATATGCTTATCCATCCTCCCCCTCCTTATCAAAGCAGGATCCAGTTTGTCCACATAATTGGTAGTGAACACAATAATTCTTTCTCCCCCACAAGCCGACCAAATTCCATCAATGAAATTCAAAAGCCCAGATAATGTAACCTTACTGCTGCTTTTGCTTTCTTCTTCAGCCTCCTTTTTCTTCTTAGAAATTGGATCCTTCTCTTTGTCTGCTTCGTCATCCTTGTCATCTTTCTCCTTTTTCTTCCTCTGTCCTGTCAGATCAAGTGAGCAATCGATATCCTCAATCACGATTATAGACTTTCCGGTGGTTTCGATCAATAGCTTCCTAAGCTCGCTGTTGTCCTTAACTGTGGTCAACTCAAGATCATAAACGTCATAATCCAAGAAATTAGCCATAGCAGCAATCATGGTGGATTTGCCAGTTCCTGGAGGGCCATAAAGGAGATATCCACGCTTCCAGGCCTTGCCGATTTTGGCATAATAGTCTTTTCCTTTACTGAACTTGATAAGGTCTTTCTTGATCGCTTCTTTCTTCTTTGTTTCCATAGCCAAAGAATCAAAAGTAGCAGGGTGCTCAAACACCACATGACCCCACTTCGTAGATTTCCACCCATACCAATTCTCACTAGGATTGTTGGTGTAGAGACATCTCTGCCTGTTCTTCACTGCAATCGCCTTTCCTTCTTTCAAAACATGTTCTATATATTTCTCAGTGACGATTTCTCGATGACTTTTATGGAATGTGAGCTTGTAAAACCTACTCTCTTCAGCGGCAGGATAAAAGGAAATAGCTTGTGTTTTGGGGGCTTTCTTGCTAGAAGCCCACCAGACCTTAACACCATTAAAAACATCGGTCACTTCTTCGTAATCATCCATGCTGAGGACTAAAGATTGGCTTTTGTTGACAACATCAGCCTTGAGTCTTTTAGCATTCTTGGAAGAATTGGAGCTGAGATAGCTTCGAATAGTAGAAAAGGCCTCACTGCGCTTGAAACGTTCACCAGTGAATTCATGGAAGGTAATTTGGATGTAAGGATTCACTAAACTCGTCAACTTCTGACTATATTTTTCAAGATAGACCCGAAGTTGGTAAGGGAAATATCGTTCAAACATAACCCAAGCAAGCATCAGGCCAGTAATGGCCGAGCTTAGTTGAGTCCATATTTCTCCACTTATCATTGAGAAATATTTCTGCCGGATGGGAATGAGAATGAAACGTGTTTTTCTTGTTCCTCAATCTCTAAAGCAGTAGCAGATTTATATAACATGTGGTAAAGTGTGCATGATTGAAGCTCTTCTTCTTTTTTTTTTTTTTTTTTTTTTTTTTTGTTTTGTCGTTGCTACTTGCTGGTGAAGTTATTCATAGATTAGAAATTTCCTGCGTAGTGCCTCAGTTGCTTTCATTTCGAAGTCCGGATGAATACTCTTGACTTTTCAGTATCTTATTTATCTCTCATGCTGACACTGTATGAATACTGGGTGGGTACTTCTTCTAGTAAGGAAGATGCTGGGTGGGTAGCTCCAGCAGCCTCCACCTTTGACCTCTGTTACTATTACACCTGCTCATAACTATAATATTTTGGAAGAGTGCTGGCTTCTCGAGGGTCCATGGGTTAGTACAATTTAAAAAAAAATTGCTGTTTGTTTTTTCTTTCTTGACGTTTTTCAGATTTTGTTTAGAAAGAGCATGACATAACAAGGTCGATGTCAGCATAGAGAAGACAAGTTTGATGCATGAATCTTCCAGGAAGTCTCATTTCTTAAAGTCAGAAATTGAATTTTCTTTTGAGCAGATGCATTTCATTGATGGTTACTCTTATTCTATTGCAATTTAGTGATTTTAGATCCATAATATCAAATTATATAATTTATAAAAAAGAAATTTAAAAATTCAAATTAGGGAGTTAAAAATATTTATAAAATATCTTTTTATATAATTCATAAAATGTTTATAATTTTTTTTAAAGAAAAAAGTTTAAGATTAGGGGATTATATATATATAACAACGAAATATTTAAATAATGTCGTTTTGGCATTTTAAATAATAATCAACTTACATGTAACGGAGATTGAATAATTTGGATCACATTTGTTCAATCTTTAATATTTGGCCATTCAAATTACGCGATTTGATCTTATGAATTTGAAATTGAAATGCCTTCTCTAAAATTTTACAGATTTGTTAATTTAGCATTTCAATTTTTTTTCATCTCGTCTTACATCATTCTAATGTCAAATTTCAAATTATAGCAAAAAAAAAATAATTCATATAGAAAATAAACATTAAAAGTTATTAGTCATAGCTTTTATATAAGATATAATTATAATTTTAGGGATGAAAATTATGAAATAAGACAAACAGAGCAAACGGAGCGGAGCGAGCAAATATCATCCCCGCCCCATCCCTCGTTCACGGGACGCCCCACCCCGCCCCATTTCTCGATCAACGCGAGGAATTCCCATATTGATTGGGGCAAAACGAGGTGGGATAGGGCTCCATTAGGGTGGGGCAAATTGTCATCCCTATGCATACCATCAAACTCATCCATTTTCAAATGGGGAGAACTTTGCATGAATTTTATCGTGGGAGGTTTCTCTATTTTTTTTTCTTTTATTATTATCATGGTTTTATAGATTTTTTAATTTGATTTAGAAAATATAATATAAATTTCTATCCTCGTTAGACCCAAACACTAATAAATTTTTAATTTGACTAAAATTTATAACAAAATTTATATTTTTATTTTTTTAGCCAAATTAACGAATCTATAAAATTAAAATAAATAAATTATAGTATGCTCTTTTGAAGTATAATAAAATTGTAAATACCATTTAAAGTTTAACATTTTAACTAAAAGTCTCTTTATAAATGAAATCAGTCTAAATTTGTATTAAAAATGAAGTTGTGAATTAGAATAAAAGTTCGGTAAAAATTATGAGTCGAAATGTGAAATCAGTCCGAATTTGTATTAAAAATGTCTTAAAAAAGCTTTAAAACTACTAAAATACCATCATGAATAGTGGTGCTAAATGATGCAACGTGTCTAGGTGTGAATAGCGAAATCCGAGTGGATGAATAGTATTTTTGAATAGTGAGATAAGCTATAATAAAAAATAACACTTCAAAACTTATTTTTGTTTAATTTAACAGTAATTAGAATGAATTTTCTAGTGGTTTTAATTTTAGAGAGAGAATGTTAAAATGAAAATACCTTCTCTACAAATTACTACATATACTAAAACTCTTCATCTTGTGTGTTTTTGAATTTATTGATGTCTATTTGGTTAAAATTAAATGAGATTTTGGCATCTTAATTTCCACAAAATTAATATTTCATCGATTCTTAATAAAAATACAATAAAATAAAATAAAAACTTTAAATAAAAATGGTTCTCATCTCATTTTAATGAGAAAATTATTTTGATTTCCATGATAAAAAAAACATGTACGAAAGTAATGAAATTTATATTTTATTGGTGCTTTTTAAATTGTATTTCTAACCTTTATTCTTTCTTTCTTTATCATGATATTCTTTACTCGGTCTAAAATCATATTAGATACTGATTATACTATTTATTCAGGTTTTAATTTTCATTTAATTTTTTTAATAAAAAATTTGTTTTGCTAAACTCAATAAAAAGGTTATAAGCTTTAATTACGTTACTTCTCTTTCATTCATGATATTGACTTTAATACTTTTTTTTTTTTACATCATTTAATTTTAAGATGAAATTCAAGAGTTTGATTAGAAAAAAATATTTCATTTGTAAAGAAAAATTTTGGAGTTATAATATTTTGAGCATAAACCTTTTTATAAAACAAAATTTGATATTTTATTCACCTTTTCAATATTTGTCATTACAAAAATTTTGATAATCATAAATAATTATAATTATAAGATTGTGCATCATCCAAAATACATTAAAAATAATATTTTTAAGGCTGTATAAAAATTTAAAAAAAAAAGCTGAATAAAAATAGTAACAAAATACTTCTAAATACGCATTGTCAACTTTAAAATCACACTAAAATCAATTAAAATTATTCAAAAAACAAAATCAAATTAAAAAATTTTGTTTACATTTTTAGCCTCTAATCTCCTTCTTCCACCTACTATTTGTGTAACACCCTAAATAAATTTTTCATACTATGCATGTGTATGCTTGTGTTTGTATGTTTGATTTTATATATATATATCTATTTGTTTTTATGCATATAAATGACATATTTTAAATTTTTTATCCTTTAGTTGTGATGTTTTGGATTATATGTGTCTTGGAGATTGAGGGGAATTAAGGTGTTTTGGAGCTAATTGAATTGATTTAAGAATGGATGAGTCTTATTGAAAGTTAAGGGACTACTTTAAAAGTTGAATATAATTATAAGGACCATGTTGTAATTTTGACATTCCTTCTTTATGCCTTTGCTAGAACCAACGCGTTCCTTTATTTTTCTTTCTCTTCCCACTTTTTCTCTTCCCCTTTTCTTCTTCTTCATAACCCAACTAAGCACCCCCTTTCTCTACAATTGTTTCCTAGCCTTTCTCATCACTAAACAACCTTGTATTAAGATAGTTATGATAAACAAAAGTGAGTTTTAAGTAAAATTAGAGTTGAAGAATTGTTGTTCTAAAGGATAATTTCGAACCCAAAAGAGAAATGTATGTTCTTGACATAATTTCTAGTTATTTTTGGATGTTATATGGTGTTTTGATGTTGGTTTGTGATAGGTTTGTCTTTTGAAGTGATATTGATGAGTCTTTTGAAATGATATTGATGAAGTTATGATTGATATCCAATTTTGGAGAAAAATTGATTAAATGGTTTTAATTGATTAATTAATGATTATTTTGCTTTGGGCTTGTGTTCTATTAAGACAAATTAAGATTTAAATAGTTAGATTTCATTAATTGAAAAATTTTGTGATGTTATGCTCGGAATTGGGTTTTGTGAATATTGGTTATTGAAAGGATTGGAAAATGATGACTTGTGATGTATGAACTTCGGGACTTTGTGGAGTATGAGAATTTTGATGACTTATTAATTTACTTAGGTTATATTGTGATTTGTTTAATTATAAGAATTGATTAGCTTGAGGAGAATATTATTGAAATGCTAAGGAATCAAGGTAAGCATGGTTCAACTCACCACAATGACCATATATGTGATGTGTATTATGTGATTGAATATGATAAGTTAATATTTGATTAATTGTTCTATGTTACGTGATAATGTGTGGTGTGGTTAATTGAGCCTTAAAGTATATTACTCTATGCATTTATGTCATGAGCATAGATTTACATATTTCAAAAAATGCATTGAAATCATATATGCATGAAAGGTAAAGGTTTGGTAAAGGCAAAGGTTTTAATAAAAGGCAAAGAGGACTAGATCGTACGTCTAGTGGGGTACCCCCATCAAGGAAAAATGTATTTACATGCATCATGAAAGTTTACAAAATGTCATGCATGACTATGCTTATTGGGTGTTAGCTCATTTTGTTATGTCTTGTGGTGTAGGTAAGGAGTCCGTGGGTGTTGACAATGCAACCGAAGCACCTTGAACGAACTTTTATGACGTGTCCTTTTGTCTAACTTTTGTCTAGTTTGAATGTTAGACAAAAGTGGCATTAAGGGCCTTTTGTATATCTTAACTTTTGCCTTGTTATTAGCCGATAAAGTATCGTTTCAATGTTTATAACTCGAAGTTCAAACATTTGTACAGCTTTATGTTTTGAAGTTACATGGCCGTGTGCCTTTTTGCATTACAAGTCATGTATGTTTGTTGGATCAAATTCTTTTGAGGACATGAAAATTTGTTATGTTTAGTTTTGTCCGAGCTGTATTATATATACGTTATATTGATTATATTGTCTCCCTCATTTGGGATGCCATCATGAATGAGTCCGGATGCAAGGCGTTACAATTTGTAGGAGGATAACCATTATCAATAAACCCTCTATGTCATGAAGTATCCATTTACACCAATCTGGGTGCTTTTGATGACCGAAATAAGGCTTGACAATTTTTCTCTCTCCTCTCTCTATATGTAGAACCGAAATGTGATAAAAACGAAGCATAGGCACCGAAATGCGAAGGTGGAAAAGTTGAGGAACTTTAATTGCAAAGCCGATCAATTCTTCACTTTTTCGAATCCTTAAGGATTAATGAAAGTGCAAAAATACTACCGTAAACGAGTCATTAAACAATGCCGCAGAATGACCGAGTCAATGCGAATGGTGATCTAAGGTACGATAAAAAGATCACTTTTTTTTTTAATAATTTGATGAAATTTTTCCAGTAAATTATAAATTAGTCTCCTTTACTCGAAAAATAAATTAATTAATCTCTCTTATTTAAAAAATAATTATTTAGTTTTCATGTTTTGAAATCTATTTATAATTTTTTTCTTCATTTTTAATTCATTTTGATTTTTTTATTTTTTAAATAAAAAATTAAAAGATTGATAAGAAATTTAAAAAATTTATAAAATAAAAATATATTAAATTAAATATGATTAACACGATTAAAATTAAATATTTTTTTTTGAAATAAAGTGATTAATTGATTTGTTTCTTGAAACTAGCGATACTAATTTATAATGTACTCAAGTTTTTCTATAAAGACTCGTTTTCGGAATTCACACAAGAGAAATTATACGGAGGTCCCGGAACTCCACGTCGGATAAGGACCCCTTCCATTTATTTTTTGACATGTGGAAATTTTTTGACGGATAGGAAAAAACAAACCCTTAAATAAAAGAAATAAACTTTTACGGAGGTCTTCCTCCGTCGTCTCTCTCTCTCTCTCTCGTGGGTGCCAGGATAGCCTTCGTCTTCCTCCACCATCTCTCTCTCCTTCCTCCATCTTCCTCCCTCGTCTCTCTCTCTCTATGGGTGGCAAGAAAGACTCGAATTGCTTCAAGCCCATTACTTAAACAATTTTTTTCCATCTTCCTCTATCTCACTCTCTCCTTAAATAGAAGAATCTCTCTCTCGTGGGTGGTTGTTCCTTCACCATCTCTCCCTCTCCGTGTGTGGCTCTTCCTCCATCGTCTCTCTTTCCTTCCTCTATCTTCCTTCCTTGTCTCTCTCTCTCTCATGGGTGGTAAGAAAGACTTTGAATTGCTTCAAGCTTATTACTTGTTCATAACGAATTCTCGTCTTTCAAGCGTACTTTCATCCGTAATTTTCTTCTAAAGGAGAGAGAAAGGGAGACGAGTACCATCCGAAAATTATGTGAAACCTCCCGCATATGCAAATCTATGATTGTCTATTCATGGTGACGGGGACACAAACTAGGGAATTCAAAGCTTCATGAAAATACAATCCAAAGTCTATTTAACTAAGCAGAGGGAGACGGAGACAAGTCCCAAAATTGTGTGAATAATTTTGAAAACGAATTTGACTTGTGTCGCAGGAGCTTTTGCCGTTGCGTTTTCCTTTCCCCCTCTCATTAGCTCCATCCCTTGTTTTTATGAAGAAGAAATTCGTGATTGTTTGGTTCCCATCCCTCATGAATAAATATTGAAAACTCCGCGCTCGTTTGCTTTTATTTCAAAGTCCGAATTAGGTATTGCCATTGATATACAAGGAACTTTTTTGTTTACTTTTTAATTATCCTATTTATTTATGCAAGCATAATGAGAAATCTAAATATGGTACTCATCATATTTTTATACTTTCATTGACAAGTATGAGACAAAAAATTAGAATTTTGGTTTTAAAATAAAAAAAATCGGCAATTGCCTTGAATTTTTTATTTTCTATGACCATCGGCAACAGCAAGAGACAAGAAAAAGGATTGCAAATTGAAAATGGAAGATTCTTACCACGAAACTCAAGGTGGAATTCACAAATATATTTTTAATTAGTTAAGTTTAGAATTATTTAATTTACATATTTATTTTCTTCCTTGTTTGTTTTTCTTATGTAGGCATATGCTCCGAGGTTAATTTTGATGATGTGATCATTGAGGAGAATGCTCTTTATATCAATAGAAGTCATAATGAGTGTGATAATTTGATGGAAAAGTATTCAACAACAAAAAAGAAGCGTATAATTTCTATAACGAGTATGCTATTAGAACGGGTTTTAGTGTTAGACGTTCTAAGCCGAGATATAGCAATGGAAAGTCTCACGCAATTCGCCAAAGAGAGTTTCGATGTTCCAAAACCGGTAAAGTTGAAACGGATCCCCTCTCAACAAATCAGCGTAATAGATTTGAAACAAAAAGTGATTGTGGAGCACTAATCGATTAACAATTAAAGATGGTTTGTGGGTTGTCACACACTTTGTCTCAATACATCATTATGAACTAGCTTTAGCTTCGAAGCTCACCTATTGAGATCAAATAGAGCATTAAAAACTCCAAAGGCTAATGTTATTAGCACAATGGTTAATGCCGACATAAGAACGAAGGATGCTTTTGCTTATATAGCGAGAGAAGTTAAGGGTATTGAGTACCTTGGGTTTACTAAAAGAGATTGTTATAACCTTTTTGGTAAAGAAAAAATAAGGTTGATTGAGCCCGGTGATGCATAAAGCTTAATTAATCATTTTAAGAAGAAGCAAAGTGAAGACTCGATGTTTTCGTATGATGTGCAAGTGGATCAAGAAAATAGAATGACAAATTTTTTTGGAGGGATGGGAAGTCATTCATTGATTATGATTTTTTTGGTGAAGTTGTCATTTTTGACACAACGTATCGCACAAACAAATATGACTTGGTGTGCGCTCCATTTGTTGGTGTTAATCATCATTGGCAAAATATCATGTTTGGATGTGCATTTTTATTGGATGAAACCACATCTTCTTTTACTTGGCTATTTAAGTCATTCTTGGATTCTATGGGAGGGAAAGCACCAGCTCGTCATTTTTACTAATCAAGACCAAGCAATGGCTAATGCGATTAAAACTATTTTTCCTAACACTTTTCATCAACTTTGTTTCGTGGCATATCGTGACTAAGAATGCTCCAAGTCATCTTGGTAGTCTAAATTCAAATCTTGATTTTCAAAAGTTGTTTCATAAGTGCTTGAAAGGTTGTGAATCTAAAACTCGATTTTGAAGAAACTTGGGAGAAAATGTTAGATGCCTTTGATCTTAGAGAGCACAAGTGGTTGAAGCAATTATATGAGAAACACAAAAGATGGAGCATTGCTTTGTCTAATGATTTCTTTTCAACTGGATTTCTATCATCGCAACGAAGTGAAAGCACTAACAATGTTTTGGGAAATGTGGCAAACAAAACTACTTCACTCATGGAATTTGTTAAATCATTTGAGAAAATTATTAAGGAATGACGTTCTTCCGAGGTCGAAGAGGATTTTCATTGTAAGCAAAGTAAGCCTCCTTTAGCAATTAGAGCTAGTGGGATTTTAAACCATGCAACAAATGTTTATACCCACAAACTTTTCAAATTGTTTGAGGAGGAGTTCAAAAATGCCATAGGAAAATTTTGGTTTGAACTATCTTCCGATGGTGGTGTTTATGAATTTAAGGTTGGAGGAATGGATGGCTCAAGGATCCATCATGTAAAGTTGGATACGTTCACCGTGGAGATAAGTTGTTCTTGTAAAAAATTTGAGTCTATGGGTTTGCTATGTCGTCATGCATTGAAGATCTTGATCATTAAGAACTTTGATGAAATTCCAAATAAATATGTGTTAAGTAGATGGTGTAAAAATGCAAAAAATAGATGGTTGGAAGAGGAGACGCATAATGTTAGTGTGGATGGTAAGAATGATGATTATGAGATAGTTTATCAAAATAACATGATGCGAAATGCTTACAATATCATCTTGAAGAGTCAAGGAAATGTAAAAGCAAGAGAGATTGTTCAAGATGGACTAAAGAAGATTGATAAAGCTATTGAGAATGAATTGGCCAAATTGAGCATTTCTTTAGATGGTCAAGAAATGAAAAATGAAGTGGGTGATGGGAAAAATGTAAAAGAGACACTTGATGTTAATCCTATCTTGAACCCCCTCATGCAAAGACCAAAGGTGTCTCCAATACAAGATTCAAATGATACTTAGAAAAATCCAAGAAAAAGGCAAAGACAAAAGCAAAAGCAACAATCACAGGTTTGTAAAATAAAAAATGTTATTTCTCAATTTTAGTATAAATACCTTCTAACTTATAGTTTCATTTTCATTATAGATGTAAATAATAATATATCTAGATTATTATCCTTTTCAATTGTAGAGAAAAAGAGAGGCAAAAATTCTCAATGCAAAGTTCCTGCAAGGCAAAAAACAAATGATCAAGACGAGGTACTCTTTTAATCCATTACCATATTTCTTACATGAAGTTTTTATGATATTTATAATTTATTATATATTCTTGTCTAATCGGGATCCTCTCCAAGTATGAGCACATATAACATTCATAATTTTCAATATCATCTTGCAAGTTTGATGCAAATTCCATACCACCAAGTACCACCAAATATGCATATGTTAAGTCAAGTTGGTGCCCCTTTCCGTGTATACACAATCTTCAAATTTTTATTGTACGACATTCATTTTTCATTTTATTTTTAGGCTAATTAAACTCGTTATTTTTATTAGTATTGGAATATGGGAGGCTCAAACATGTCATTTACTACAATGTTACAAGGTGTTGAGCCTATAGTGAATTTGAGTCAAGTAAGTTATTGTAGTTGTGTTTTAATAATCGAATTTTTTTACAAGTTCAACAAGTGTGTGAATGTGCATATTTATTTGCAGGATTCGTCTTTAAATGCTCAACTTATAAATACAACTCCAAAAGTGGTGATTGATATGAAGAAAGTGGCATAAATAGTTCATTGCAAATTGAAACACTTTTCCGATGATGAATGGGAGTGACATTCGTGGTCACCATTTTTGTTGCTTATTTAGCCTTGTTGATGGCACATTTAGACCTTTTTTGTATGTTGGAGAGGACATCCTATTATTATTTATTATGAAATTGTTAATGACACATTAAGTTTATTTAAGTTTAGGCTTTTTCCCTTTTGAAAATTAAATTATATATCTTCATTTTCCAAATCATGGATTGAAGGTTGCATAAGTAGTAGTATATAGCATGCAAGAATATATATTCATTTAAACTTCGGTGCAAACAATATTGTTGGAGTATCAATTTTATAACAAAAAATAGAATGTCATTGAAATTGAAACTCAAAACAATTAATAGACATACAACTATTTAAGCAAATTTTATTCTTAAGCAAATTTTAATGTCCATGTTGCTTGGCATCACCGGATCAAGCATTATAATACATAAAGCAAATGAATAATTTACCCCGCCACTGCACCAAGCATCGCACCAGACCTAATAGTATTGCCATTATCATAAAGCTCGCTATGCATACTTGTAAAGTCCTATAAGAGCCTAAGCCAATAGGCATGCCATCCTTTCAAGTACAAGTCTTAGATGTACGTAAGTTCATAGACAAAAACAGGATATGAAACTACAACTGGTGCTCTGTAGACCTTTGGTACCTTTTTAGATCCAGGACCTCAATAATTACTCCATAAGCAAGTATCGTAAAGTCTGGCAGCGTAAATATTCCCTCCCGTAACTAAATTTACAATAACAGAGCCACCAAGAAGTAGCATAGTCGTGACAATAATGTTCTTCCATAAGCAAAATGCAAGGAGAACTACATGTGCAAGAGTTCCCCAACCGAAGCAAAAAAAAATCGTAGAAAATTAGTGCATTTTAGTGGTGATAAATAAATGAGCTTGTTAACAATTATTACAACTATATTTTATTCAAAGTTGAGATAAGTCAAATGCCGAGGCCTCCCACTCGATAGTTCTTTCGATTTATCCGTCTTTAGTTCTTCCGGATTCCTCATTTTACACCCCGAAGATCCATACCCTAAAGCACTAAAAATTACTTCTTCTAATCTATTTGTCTCTAAAAGTGGGCACTTCGATTTGCATTGTTCCCGCTGGTAGAAAAATTGAACTCTAGCGAGAATTCCTTTGGTACCTTTATTGCTACTATTTGCATCATTTGAATGTGTATCCCCATGAAAAATGTCTTTGAGATCACTAGAAAAAGGTATGCTACTCGTTATGAAGAATCAAATTCCCCGAAAATGTATAATCGGTATTAATTGAATATAATGGCCAATTTGGCACCCCTATAAGACCAAAAAAAAAAAAAAACCATCTTTAAAGGAACGGACCATAAACATAAAATTGTTAGATGTTAGTTTGACTGTCTTGCACAATTATTTGGTTAATTCAACAAGTGATGATGAACAATCATCATCAAGTTCATTATCTTAGAAATTAAAAGGCCTCAACTTTTTCATTAATATTTCCATTCCGTCAATTTCCGTACAACCAACACGCAATAGCAGAAAATTAAGACATTATATTGCATATAAAGACGAGAGGAGAAAAGGGCTTGCTAGAAATCCAAAATAAAATAATGGGTTACAACCAAAAGAAAGAAGAAAATAAGCATGAAAAACGTCCTGAAAAACCGGTAAAAAAAGAAATCTCACCTTGATTTTCATGACCATCACGGAACAAGAACAGGGAGGGACCAAAGCAGGAGAATCAAAGAGAAAGGCAACTCATACAAACATCCACTCCTTGAATTGTTGCTTCGTTTTTGTTGTTTTGAAATGCAATGGCGTTTAAGAATGAGAACCCTTGTCAAGGGTTTTTCATGCCTTTTCGTCCGTACGTAAATAAAGGGAGCTTGATTATGCTCGATAAAATTACTATACCAAGACTTCGGAGAAAGAACTAAAAAAGTTCTTTACATCCGAAAAATGCATTTAAGTGTACCGAGTTAATCAATTAGCTCATGAATCATATATATTTCAATATCCGAACATAGCTTAGTAATTGAGAATATTAGGTGATTTATCAGTTGAATCACTAGAAAGACTATATGATATTGAATTGCTTCAAGGAAGCACGGATTTCTTGTCTAGAATGATAGTACCTTGTAAGCAATTACAAGATAAACTCCAATAATAAAAAGAAAGAAGGCAAGCACAAAATCGAGTCAAGTGAAGTCCATTCCATGGAGAATGAGTGATAATTGGAATAATTCTCCACCATAATCAACTAGCATCATTAGCCGAAAGCAACCAATGTAGATCATAATTAAGGTTAGTTTTTTAATTAACCTTAGATGCTTCGACCAATGAACTAAACAAAAAGCTCAAGTTTAAGGTAAGCTTTTCAATTCTTGATTTGAAGAAAATACATACTATCTTTTCCAATCGGAAAAACACAAAAAATTCCTATAATTTTAAGCGAAAAAAAAAAACAAAAACAAATAAGTAGTAAAGCCGAGAATGAAACAAACGAATAACAATTGGGAGAAGCAGAGCATCATATCATTTTAGGGGGAAGCAGAGCAAAATAACTAGTGATTTAAGCGATTTTAGCACGAAACACCGACCTAATCGGATCATGACGAGTTGCATCAAATTGATAGAGCATCAAGAGTGTTAATAAGTGAGTGAGGTAGAGGTAGCGATTGCACGGATACGAGAAATGAAAGCTAAAAGGAGAAATAGAGATCGAAGGGGAGAGAAAAAGTAAAAAAGTAAAAAAGAAAAGAATAGATGGCAATGATCGACAAAGGGAGAAATTAGACGGTAACATGTTGGCACGGTTTTATAGCCGAGAGAGAAACGATGGAGGAAGGAGAGAGAGATGGTGGAGGAAGTCTTTCCCGGCACCGAGAGAGAGAGAGAAAGAGACGGTGAAGGTTGGAGAGAAGATAAAGAGTTAATTGTTTTATTAAAGGGTAATTTTATTTTATCCTACATGTAAAAAAATACACACATGTCAAAAAATAAATGGAAGGGTCCTTATCCGACGTGGAGTTCTAGGACCTCGTATAATTTCTCTTCACACAAATATAGAGAGCTAAATCGTCGGATTTTCCAATTCTTATTCCCATTTCTAGCACTTAAAATTGAAAAACAAATTAAGAGGCTCGGCTGATGCACTTGTTTCCGCTCTTGTGGCTACGATCTTGAGCAACTTGGATTAATCGGTGCTTTAAGAACTGCGAGTTATTGGGGGCCTAAAGACCGAGCTTGAGAATCTAAAGTGCACCTTCGCAATGGTTCAAGTCGTGATCCGAGATGCGAGAGGAGAAGCAATGGAAGAGTGAGGCTATAAAGCGAGTGGCTTATCAACCTCAAGGATGCCGCTTATGATGCCGATGATGTGCTGGATGAATTCGCAATTGAAGCTCAAAGGCGGATGCGAGCATAACGATCTTAAGAACGAGTAAGATCCTTCTTTTCTCTTGCTCATAATCCACTTATCTTTCGAGTGAAATTGGTACATAAACCGAAAACTGTTAGAGAAACATTAGATGCCATTGCTAAGAGGAGGCATGACTTCCATCTAAGAATGGGAGTTAGGTGTTAGAAGCATGTTGTGATTTACTTCAAACGTAAATATATGGATGATATAGTGATTACAAAAGAACTCTCTTCTTTCTCAAAAATATTTTCTCAATAGATAGGTGTTACAACACTTAATTTTTTTCTCTTGATAGTCGTTGCTATCTAAGTTTCTACTCTCTCTTTTCTCTTATGATCTCTCTCTCTCTTTTTTCATACATGTTTATTACAACAAACATAAGTTCCTATTTATCGACATGCTACACCGTCATTGAGGATTAATCTAGACAACTTATACATGAATTTTGACACCTTATATCTTGTTGGAATTGCAGACTTTACAGACTCATGTATTTCATAAATTCCACCGACTTTGATGACCTCAATTCTTACCGGAATTGCACCGACTTTTGACGACTTATATAGCTGAAGTTTGTACCTCCTTTGATAGCAACTTGCACCACTTGTACAGCTCCTTTCTAGCTAATAAACATCCACTTAATCCGCACCTCCTCTACTTTACAACTCATGTCTAGGTAGCAAGTTAATGGTCTTAAGAAATCGGGTTTGAATTCCAACACTCCCCTCAAACTCGACTTTACATGCCAAGCTTTCCTTTGAGTCCGTGGAATACTTCGACCTTTAAAGGCTTTG